GAACTCATGTTTTTTCACAAAGCTTGATACATTTCCTTCTGCAGCATCCGTTAGTATCATCATCAGGGTTTCCAACATGTTAGAGTGGAGATGGATAATAATCTGAATAAAAAGAAGAAATAATCAAATACAAAGGTGCTCTAATATGTTCATGGAAAAATTCCATTATCTTTCGTTTTATTTTTTTACACACTTTTTGAATCCCATCGTACAAACCAAGAAGTACTTTCAATGTTGAGAAAGGCACCTTTTAGGGAAGCTTGTATTTTATAGGCACCTCCCCTGCTTTGATTGTCGAACTCCTAGCCTTGCAGAAAACAAAGCCGATCCAGTTCCACTGAGGCAGTTCTGCAGGCGAGCGGAGACCTGCACCTGTGGGTGTCTGAGACAGCCACTCTTTACACAGGCACAGTCGCCTCCTTCTCCCTCGGGCGTGGCTGATGCTCTCGAACTGCTGACCTGGCAGTTAGTAGCCCAGCACATGACTCACTACACCACCAGGGCGCCTTTGCACAAGGACAAGGCATGTATTTTGAATGTAAGTCCACCAGCCGAAACTTGTTTTCTAACTTAAGAACACAAATGAAATGAGACGTAGCACACAGACTTTAGAATCTGGCAGATTTGGGTTAGAATCCTAGCACTGCGACTGATGGTCCCCGACTGTGGGATTATCAGCTGCAGGTACCTAATCTCTGATTTTCAATAGAAGTCACTATGTATTTTAGGTATTAAAGAAAATACTAACCAATTTGACTATACCAGTACCATCCTCTTTAGATTTGACTGTACCATCCTCTTTAGATTTGGAGGATATGACAATCAATCTCCTAAGATTGATAAGATGAGACTTTCTTAAACCCCGCAAGCAGTTCGTCCATCTGTCCTAAAGGGTTGCTATGACTTGGGATCGACTCAAAGGCAGGGAGTTTTTTAAACAAATATTCAATGGGGCAAATGCTACCTTTAAAACTGGAGGGTGTGGGGGGAGTAGGGAATTACAAGGAGGTCAAGTGGGAGAGCAGTGCAAAGGAGGGCAGCCCTGGATGAAATGGACCAACACAGTGGCTGCAACCGCGGCTCAGACATAGCGATTGTGAGGATGGCGCAGGGCCAGACAGTGCTTCGATTGTTGTTCGTCTGGTCACTACAAGTCGCAATGGACTCAACAGCACCTAACAATGACAGCACGTTAGTGCCATGAAGTCTGAGCTGGTTGAAATCTTTATGGGGCACGTCTACTTGTGCTACATGCATTCAGAAACCTTCAACACTGGATACTGTACTTTGTTTCTGAATGACACCATTAAATACGCTCCATCAAAGTGACACAAATGCTAAGTATTTCCACACTGAAGAACCGCACTAGCCCGTGTAATCCCAGGACTGTAATGAATAAAATTCAAGAGCAGAAGAGGAAATGGGATTAGAGCTTAAATTCTGAGCGCTCACAGTGCTCACAAGGCTATGGATGACAGTGGAAGCCCAAGATCCACTTGCAGGGTCCCCACTTGGATTCATTCTCCTGAATTCACTCCAGAATTCCCCTCTGACCGCTGACCAGGGCTGTGAATAGCCTTTCTATCAGGGAGATTGCCCTGAAAAGCGGAATAACGCAGATATAGCTAGGTTAAAATCTCATACCTTTTCATTTGTACTTGCTTTTGAGTATACCACAAGTACTTTTCACCAAACTGGCACAATTAACAACACACACACACACATATACACACACAGCATATTTCCCTCCTAATTACCAATGTTCATTATTAAAATTTGAGAAATATAAAAAGTTTGAATAACTGCAAAAAAAATTCACCAATCACTGTTACAATTGATAAATCATATCAAAAATAGGTTTCCCCAAAAATTTGGTCTTTTGAATCAATTATTTTAAAATGAGCATCTTCCCAGAGCATCAAGGCATTTTAGGGAAAAAAAAAACACCTCATTTTTATTGTATGGAAATATACCACATTGCATCACACCAATTAATATTAAAAAACAAACATACAAACAAAAACTAGTTCATGTTTTAGACTTGGTTTCCAGATTGAAATTAGCACCAGAAGGTATAAACAACCTGAATTTAGCTGGGCAGTGCTTTCACCATTCAAAGACACAAGAACAAGTCAGCCACGTGGGCTGCCGGCTGCCGTTGTCTCCAGTGCCCAGCAACTAGGCGGCACTCCATCCTCCATCAGTAATGAATGAGAAGGGGAAATGAGGCCCCTAGCAGTTTATAAGGAACATGCTGCTAGAGCCCTATTCTAAAAACCACTAGTAGTGATGACCTCCTGGAAGGCTTCACCTTTTCTTAATACGCACCCAGCTTTCTCCCGGTCTCCAGAGCCGACATCTGACTCAGGAAGGATCTCAGGCAAGAGGCTCACTACCTGGAAGTACACTGGCAGAGTGTGTACGGGTGAGGCACTTACTGGAGAAGGGTGGAGGGGAGAATGCTTGTGGCATGGGCCTCCCTCCAACGGAAGCCTCTGGACCCACTCAAGGAAAGCTAAAGCAGGGCACCGCACGTGGCCTTACATCACGAATTTCAGACAGAAGGTCAGAGAAATTGAATTACCGGGGCAGGGGAAATTCTGGTTAATGCTATTTACAGAACACATATTCCCTGCCCACCTTGACCTCCTGACACCTCACAAATGAGGACAGGTCCCTGGGTGCCCTGGATCAAAAAAAGGAACAGACGCTCTCAACGTGTGGAAACTTACATGCCTAGTTTCTTTGGTTTTCTTTAGAAGTGGCTCTTTCTCAGTAGGACGTCATAGTGTGGTAGTTCAGAAAGGAACCCTGGTGGCGCGGTGGGTCACCCTTGGGCTGCTAACTGTAGGGTTGGTGGTTCAAACCCACTGGCTGCTCCAGGGGAGGGAAAGATGGAAAGAGGACGCTTTCTGCTCCTGTGAAGATTGACCGCTTCAGAGGCGATAAACTGGGTTGCTATGAGTCAGAAATGACTTGGTGGCAGTGGGCCTGGTTTTTTGGTTGCTAGGGTGGCTAGATAGTGCCAACATTTAAGCATTTGACTGCTAGCTGAGTTTGGTGGTTCAAATCCATCGGCTCAGAGGTACCTTAAAGGTCTGGTGAGATCTGCTTCCCCAAGTCCCAGCCTTGGAACGCCTACGAAGCAGTTCTACTCTGCACACAAAAGGTCACCAGGGGTCATTATCAGCTTAATGGTAACTAACAACAATAGAATATTGTGGAGAATGCCTAACCATGACCCATGGAGAACAGAACTCCTGACGACTGACTAATGCCGTCATGTGTGATGTGCAGACGCGGCAGCTGTAGCCCCGGGTTTCAGTGCCACCAAGGGGAGCAGTGGAGCCTGGGACTAAGTTCTGACTAACAACCTGTACGGACAAGTTACCAGAAGTCGCTAATTTGTTTATGCTGCTCCCAATTCAACCAAATGTAATTAACTCACGCCTATGGGTGGGGGAATGGGACCGCTGAGAAGCGAGCCTTTCTCCTTTCCCACCTTCTAGGCCCAGCAGACCTCCCTGTAAGGACTAGGCCTTTGTGCACTGCAGAACGGGGCCTAGACTACTGGCCTCGGTTAACAGATAAATGACAACAGTGGCCAAGGGCCCCCTGGTCCATCCCCCTTGTAAGAGCAAGGTAAATCCCACTCCAAAATGGGTTTCCACCTGGAGCTGGAGACATGTCAGTTTTCAGTAGGAATGATTAGAATTCAAAGCCAATCAGTGGAAATGGATCTGTTTGGTGTCTGCTGCTTTCAGACATATTTCATAGTGGAATCTAATCCTTTGCCACTGAGCAGCACAGCTGAAGAGGAGCAATGCTTCCTTCGCAGCCGATAAGTTTAAATCCCACTGGAAAGGGCAGAGGAGACATGGGTGTGTCATGATGACATCACTGACTAAGGACATCACCTAGGACTAAGGTCCTAGGTAGCAAGTGATTAGCTGGGGAAACGGGGAACTAGGCCCTTTGGGCCACATTGGTAGGAGGAAGCATTTAGATGGAAAGAAAATTACCATATATATTCATGTAAAAGCCATGTTACCAGCACAATTTTTATGCAGTTTTGTGGTAAAATTAGGTGCTTCAGCTGATATTCGGGTCACCTTATACTTGAGTATATACGGTAAGTAAAGGGGTAAAATTGGATTGGCTCAAATGCCAACTGCCAGCAGCCAGAAGTTTTAGACAGTCATTTTTAAAGTAGATGGGGACGAGGGGAGAACGTCATTAGTTTCTGCTACTCCTGAGTGAAAAGGCTGCCTGCTCCATTCATCAGTTTGCCATTTCTTAATAACTGGCAAACTGCCTTCAAGGACTACGCGAGCATGAGTCGGCTTCAGAGAAGCTGGGCTCCATGAACTCCTCTATGTAAAGAGCTGGTCTCAAGCCAGAGCTCCACAGAGGGCCGCTGTCTGTCGGCCGTCATCTCGCAGTAAGATGAAGTAGAGTGACATTGAAATGGGGCACACGTAGATCAGGGCAGTTGGAAGAAATTCCGAGTGAGAACTTTTAAACAACAAAACGATCTTTCCGTTTCCTGACAGTGCATGATTCTGTGACCTGATTTGGGGAGAGGCTGATTCAGCTTTGAGATGAATTTAAGGGATCCCCCCTGCCATGGTCCTGGCCCCAAACATGCCCAACCCGACAGGTTGCCCGACTTTCCTTGCCAGCCCTCAGGCAACAGGAGCTGTCCCTCCTGCCAGGCCCCTCGGCCCACTCAGCCCACCTCCTCCAGAATCCCTGGACGGAACCCCTCACTCTCACCGGCCTGCTTTCTCTCTGCCCAGAAAGCATCACAAGATGACCAGTGTGAAGGAGAGAGCACGGGTTTAAGGAGATGAGCAATTCTAGTGGAAGGAAGCAGAAGCAGGTGTCAAGGGCAGCCCATGCTTCCTGGCATCCAGGCCTGCGTTCTGCTCCTTACTGGGGAAGAGCAGTGGGTCCTGGTCCTTGGAGAAGAGGCGCAGCCCGGCAGCACCTGAGGTGGTGGCGAAACTCTAGGCTTTGGAGCCAAATGGATTTGTTTGTGTTAACAACCTGCTGCTGCTCTTTAATGAGGCATGGGCCACCTACTCCCCGGTGAAGCTGAGTTTTCCACAGCTATAACAGGGAGAAGTAACTTCGTGATCTGACAGGTTTATACGGAAGAAACTAAGCTGCGTAAAGTACCCAGCCTTGTGCCGTGGTGAACTGTTTAACATCTTGCCAATCTAATTCTTCTCAATTTCCCCCCAACGATCCTCGCTGATCCTTCCTCATGACCTCATGTCCAGTCTAGTGATCCACGCAATGCATCTCTCACCACATCCATGCGTCTTTCCTATGTGGTGTAATGGGATGCATGTGTAACCTGAGCTCAGTGGAAGAACCAGTCTCTTGCTGATAGTAACAATGCTATTTCAGCCCCGTCATGAAACTGATGCAGGCCTCTCTCTCTCTCTCTCTGAAGCATGTATATGAAGGAGCTTCAGAATGTATGCGGGAAAGCAGAATTAAAAGATCATGGAATTTGCCCATGTACTTTTTGAAGCCCCTTCAAAACCAAAGCAATCCACAGGGAACAGGAAGCAGAGATGAAGCCAATGGCCAGACAGAGTCTGCTGTGCAACCAGCTCAGTTCCCTTGTGGTACGAAAGACCTGAACTTCTGGACTCTGGGCCTTTGCCGGGCTTGGCCTTGCAGACCCGACCGAGCCTGCTCTGACCTATGGTTTCAGCCTAATCCCACAGGCCTGCCTGGTCCCAGGTGCCCCAGATTTAGAACAGTAGCTTTCTAAAGCAGGCTGTGATGGGGGGCTTCTGTATGTGATGGTCCCTCTGTATTTCCAAACACCGGTGCAATTCGTCCCTGTCTTTTTCGGATGCTTCTGCCTCCCGCTGAATGCCATCTGCACTCATTCCCGGGGCCTCTTCCTCCCCACTCTCTCGGAGGCCTTCTCAGGCCCTGGTCAAGCATCCCACAGATGCGGCCAGAACAGACAGCTTGGACATGCATTCCCCGTCGAGGCTCAGACCCTTTGTAAACGGCAAAATCTCTTGGGGACATCTTTTCGTGTGAGCATGTAACAGTTTAATATTTTCCCTGCCCAGTGCGCTCTGCTTTTGTGGCTGTCCCTGCTTTCAGCTTCTGAGTTCCCCTGGCTGCTCTTCTCCGCACACGAAAGCGTTTGAAAACAAGTGTTAGGTCAAATATATCAAGTATTCGGATCTCAGACTTCTTGCCTGACTTTGTTCTTCAAAGTTTCCCTTACAGGTACATCTAGCCCTTCACTTAAAAAAAAGTCCCTAGCTCTACACTTTCCTCTCTCATTGTCCTCTGGGCACTGGTCTGGGGCGACAATTGAGGACAGCACTGCATTATCATTATCTTTTACGGGTTCCTGTTCCTTTTCAAGGGGCCCTGGTGGCTTAGTGGTTACACAGGATTGCCCAGACTGGATTATGATGGGGGCAGGCATCCCCATCCTCCTGCGGAGCCGCTGGTGGGCTTGAGCCACTGACCTTTCTGCCAACAGCCCAATGCCTCACCCACAGCACCACTCGGCTCAGCTTCTTCAAGGCCCAGGAGGGAGACGAGAGCCCACCTCCATTCTATCCCTTGTCTCTGCTTCTCCTTTGTCCCTGGGCTCTATTTAAAGACTTACTGAGCCATGTCTGATACCTGAACCTAGCTGCCTTTCCACCAGGGTCTAAATCCTGGAAGCTCTGGCTGTGCTGCTTCTACTCACAGGGCTTACAACAACGTAACGCTTACAGAGAACAGCTCAACAAACCGTGACTCAGTCAAACTGAATGAAAACCCGCAGAGATCAAAAGCACTGCAGTGAGTCTAGACACCGTTTTATTATATTGCAAAGCTGAGTTGAAACCATAAAATATACTTTTGAGAGCTTACCATGTGTCGGGCTCTATTTTATGCTCTGGAATGTATAAAACAGTCACTTACATTTAAATTGATGCAGGTTGTGCTTTCTGGCTTCATGATTTGAGAAAAAATGGACTTAGCTTTAGCCACTTGGTTCTGGAAGAGAGGGGGGGGAAACCATAGCCTAAATCATTACTTTGTTATCATAAGGGCCTCTGGAAGAAGTCCAGAAATTCCTGCTCATGGGACACTGAGAGGGTTGATATTCACAAAGAAAATGAAGGGTCTTTTTTATCGGTGTTCCGAAATGAACGTTCCAGAAACTGCTTCCCCCAGGAGCACAGAATGAGATGTTTTAACAACCTGCCTGAGTACAGTTTCAAAGATAAAGGCAAGAGTTAGCACTTCTCTTTCTCCTGCTGGAATCAGCTCAAATAAACAAAGCAAGCATGAGAACCAGACATGCAAGTGCCACGGCTGTGAGAACAAGAAGCCTCAAACCAGGAAGATGGAGAAGCCCTGTCCAAACACTGACAATGGCGCCTGAGAAGGACGTTCCATCTCCTTGGCCTTGCCACGAGCCTGCTCTGGCAGGGCCACTTCAGAGAAGGTATTCTGTGCTGCAGCACTAACTCTGTCCTTCACTGAAGTGTGAGCACAGGGAAGGCCACGCCCTCTGGTGCTCGATTGCTTCAGTCTGTCCAGTGGGAAGGACAGGCTGAGCATTCATGCCTCTTCCAAGTAAGAGTATTTGGGCCTAGGTGAGGGCAACACGATGGACTGAACTTCTAAAATGGGGTGAGACCCAGTAGTCCTGCTTCAACAGAGGTGAACCCAGCTCTGGAGAGCATTCAAATTAAACGGCTTACCAACATTAAATATTAAACTGGTTGTCTTAATTTTCAATTTAGGGACTTGGGACATTTTTCGTAGCGTGCTGCTTAGAATTTTATCCAAGTCCTTCTAAGTAGAAATGCAGGTTAGTTCCTCACTTAGAAAAGAGGCCGTCTTTGGAGGCATAAGTGTAGAGGCGGGTTACCACAGCTCAAAGGCCTTGCTATCTTCTGGGCAATTTTTGCCCCAAGATACAGCCTGAAGGAAAAATACTAAAGCCAAGAACAGACGAAAGTAATCAAGTTGTGCCCAGGTAAGTGCACCCCAATCCTTACCTGATTCAGAGCTAACGCCACAGCAAAACAAGAAGCTCTCCTGGACAGAACTTCTCCTTTGATAAGGGCTTCTTCTCGTAATGCCGTACAGATTTTTAAAGACTCACGGCTATTCTATGAGGAGAGAGGATGGCTCAATGAATGTCGTGAACCTTCCAGTTAAATAAAATGATTAACATTGCTCAATAGTTCAGATTTCCCTTTGTAACAATTCCCCCAGCCTATCCCAAGCCACTTAAGATTAAGACCTGCAGAGAGAAGGTACCCTTTCCTCACTTGCTATGTAAGGCCAAGTTGCTATGTGAAAATCAACATCAGGTGAAAAGTGAGGATGACCACATCAGACCACAGAATCAACATCATTCCAAAATTGTCAAACTATATGATTACATAACCGCTGAACCACTGAGAATCACAACCCAGCCAAGTTGCTACATAATCTTAACCATCCCAGCCAGTATTGCAGTTGCCTTGGACCTTAGTAATCATTACAGCCAGACAGATGTGCACTGTTGATGGGAAAAAGAGGTAGATTTGAGTTTTTCCCCATTGTCACAAATATGAAACATCAGATCATGAGCTAGTCACTAAGTGAATGAGCAAACAGAGCAGGCTATCTACCAGAAGTGTTAGCAGCTAAATCTAAATGACATTGCTTTTAAAGCTCGGTCAATTTTCACCTGCAAATACAAAGGTCCCTCTGTATGTGGAGCCGAGTTTCTATGTAAGTATCATAATATAATATACAGACTCTGTCTGCAACTATCGTCAAGAATTTCGTAAAGTGCAGCAACAGCAGGAAATGTTTCTTGGGGTAATTCCCAATTAAAACAAATAACAAAAACATCTATAAGTCAAACATGTGAAAATGTAAGCACTC